TTTTTTTAAGTGAAATTAAACAAAATGAATGCCAGTGCAATGTAATTAGGCTTGGAAATATTTGTTTTTTATTGGTAAATGTCAGTAACTATTGATTTCACTGTGTGTACACACGTACACACACACAAAATATTTCCATTGATCATGATTGAAATTTACAGATAGGCAAAGTAAGAACAATGCTGCTTGAGAACTAGTTTGATTTTAAGGATATTTACTTTGCATATTTTGACCTGTAATGTGGACAAATTATGCTTTAACAGGTATAAACTTCAACTTTTTGAATCTCAATGTCTGCTGACATTAAATTGTTGTCTGATTCCCCCACCCCTAGTTTCCCACAACTGAAAATTTAAATAGATAAAAATAAAAAAAAAGCTTACAACCCAAAATTTTGCACCACTGTGAACGTTTTAAAAAAATGAAATAAACATTGAAAAAATGCTTAAAAATAAATATTGATATTATCCATTGAAATTATTTAAAATATTTTTTGCCAAACCTAAGTGAATGAAGATCCTCATAAGACTGCTTAATCATAGATACAGTAGTTCTTCAAATAGATGCCACATTTGTGGCTCTTGTCTCTATGCCTGTTTCCCTTTCCACCCTGAAGAGCTTACAAAAAGTGGGACTCTCTCCTATTATGTGTTTGTAAACTGTCCTGATCTCAATAGAGACCTTTAGACCAGTGGTCCCCAAACTTTTTACCTCGTGCCTCCTCCTTACCCCTGTCCGCACCTCCCCTCCCAGGCCGCGGCTCCAGGAGTGGGGTGTGTGGACAGGGGTAAGGAGGCTGCGGCCACAGCTGGGAGTGGGAGCAGCTGAGGCCGGCAGCCAGGGCCCCCGGGTGCAGGGCCGGTGGCCGAGAGTGGGGCTCCCAGGCGTGGGGCCAGCGGCTGGGGCCAGGAGCAGACCTGAGTGGCACTCCCACCCTACCCCCTGGTGGGGACTGGCCCAGGCAGCACCTGTGTGCCCCTGCCCCGAACTTTCCTCCTTGCCCCCTTAAGGCGGGTGAGTCCCACAGATTGGAGACCTCTGCACTAGACATTACTGTAATAAATTTTTTTTCAGAAATTGATCATTTGTTTAGTCTTACACAAGTGGTTGTTTAATAATTAGTAACTTCTAACAAAATATTATTCTAATGGTTTTTATATCCAGTTTTTCCCTAGATTTTTGAAAGTGAGAGTCAATTTTGGGAACTCTGGTTTATTACAGTGACAGCAAAATAAGTTGGGAGGTATCACCAAGTAAGACACATTTTAGTCCCCTGCGTCACCAGGCTCAAGACATTTGACCACAGCTGCTGAACTCATTGATAGGAAAATAACATTTTTATAGTTCCAGCAGATATGAGAAGTTGGGGCCAGATTCTGATACCCAACTCATGTTGTAGTTACTTACTCCACAAGTGGTCTGATTAAATCAGAGGAACTGTTCATAGGGTAAGGTCCTACAAGATGTGGCGGAATCTAAAAATTTGTATGTATTTAAAGACCTAGCCAATTCAATTTGAGATCATTCACAATATGTACCAGACACTAATACAGCTTAAAAACTAAATTTATTTAAAGTAATACATGGAAATTTAATAATGACATCTTACTTTTCATAAAACTCCCATATGGTTTTCTATCGTGTAGTAGTTTTGTTTGATTCCATATTAGGATTAAATTTATTTTTATTAAATTGAAAGTTTGGTTTTATTTAAATAAAAACTCGAAATAGTATGTCTAGACCTGGGGTCGGCAACCTTTGGCACGCGGCCCATCAGTATAATCCACTGGCGGGTTGCGAGACATTTTGTTTACGTTGACCCTCCTCAGGCATGGGCCCCCTGCAGCTCCCAGTCGCCGCGGCTGCCGCTTCCCACAGCTCCCATTGGCCGGCAGTGGCAAGCCACGGCCACTGGGAGCTGTGGCGGGCTGTGCCTGCAGATGGTCAATGTAAACAAAATGTCTTGTGGTGCCAGCGGATTACCCTGTTGGGCCGTGTGCTGAAGGTTGCCAACCCCTAGTCTAGACTTTGAATTAATTCCAAATCCTAGTGTGGCTTGTCTGAGGCATCTGATGGTTTTGTCAGAGAAATGTAAGTAATTTGTTGAACAGTTTGACTTTGAACAATGGAGATGTGACAGTCAGTGAAATGTAACTAGAAGGATAGCTGCAGCATTTACTATGTTTATGTCACTCAAGTTTGTTGTGCTCTTTTTAGTCAGACAGCTGCTATTTTTTTATTTAGTTGATTATTATGGGTGTCAGATATCATTTGCATTTATAAAATTATTTTGGGTATGTTGTCTGAGGATGTTAGCAAATGTAGTATGGTCAGATACAGAAACTATGTCTGGTGAACATTGAATGCAGGAAACCTCCAGCAATATTCAGACTGGGGTATACAGATCAGATTGGCTCACATGGGGCTTACTAGCAGGGCCGCAGCTGTCAGCGTAAAAAAAAATCAGACTGGCTCTTACGAGGATTATAGGCATAAGGGTGTTGAAAATTTTTTTGTTTATTAAAAATTGGCCTTTGTCATAGATGTTTTTCAAATTATATGTATCCAAAATATTTTATTAGATCAACATTAGGGGATGGGAAGGATTTTTGCCAACATCTCATCCTTCTGTGTTACACATAAAATAATTAAATTAAGATCTTTCATTTTTAAAGAGAGATCAGTATTTTAAAACATTTTAATTTGTTGTTTACTGTAAAGAACAATGATGCTACCGTAGACCAGACCACAAATTGGTCCATCTCCAACATTCTGACCCTGAAAAATGTTTTATTTTTTTACCGCCTATCTCAAAACTTAGAGTAGACTGGTTAATATTGATGCTAGCATCCTTTAGTCTAAAGATTCTACTCAGGAGATTTTTCTGTGTGGTGAGATGACTTGCATATTTACACAGTATCTCAATACCAGTCTTATTAGTGGTATATCTAAAAAAGAAACTGAGTGTGCTGTACAAAAACCATGCTACATTATTAATCTTTATTTCTTTTTAAGGTTGGTAACTTTTTTTTTTTTGGTAGGGAGAGGAGAAAAGAGGTGGATATGTAAGATCTGGGAAAACATGAGTTGCTGAAGATTTTCATTTCTTAACATTATTCATCTTATTTTTAATCTCTTCCACAAACACAACAGATCGATTCCCTTCCTGATCACAGAAGGTTTACACCTGTAAATCCCCAAGTATTTATTGTGGCTGACTTGATCTGAAGCTAGGATTGGACTTCCAATGTTTACATTTGACTTTTGCTGGTTTTTGGTTCATCACAGACAAATCCCAAAGCATAGATGGATAATGTCACCTCCCCAGCAGCATTCATTATATAGCACTTGCTCCTCCTGTTTTAATGTCTAATACTTCTTAACTTTCTTAGAGTGAGAGAACCTCTCATTTCAAGACTTAAGATATATTCCAGTATAAAATACACCCTCGGGCAAAAGCTTAACAGGAAAACACAGAAGAAATATATAGTTTTTATTATTTTTGAATATGCTTTGGAACAAAGGTGTTTTTCTTCTTTTAGGACAACTTGAAATTTAGCTAGTAGGGCCAAAAATGGGCTTTATTGTGCAATCTGCACACACATTAGAAAGCACCTGTTCACTCAGATAGTCTCATTAAGGAATCCACTATTGGGATTTATTTTGTGAGCAGGTGATCACTGATATAAATAAAGGTAGCACAATCTAATCCAAAGTGAGGAAGGGAATTTTTGGCCAGGTATATGGAGGATTGAGGATTGCATACATCCCAACTCTTGAAATCCAAATCAGGTTTCATTTATTCAAGGGGGGGGGAAGCACGCAATAATTTTAAAAGCTGACATAATACGTTTTCATTCCCCATACATACATACATATATATACACACACACGCATTTCTGAGTCAGTTACAAAGAGGTTAGGATTTTGGGGTTGTACTAAAGGTTCTGTAGTTGCAGATTCAAATTTGGCTTGAATAAGACCCATCATTAATCCTGCAGAACCCTAGGGATATATGTGGGAGAGGGATACTTGTACATAAACTGGGTAACTACATGCTTACAGTTTAGTCATGCAGCCGGTTTGCCTGCCTAAAAGGGCCAATTGCTCACAGAAGAGCAAATAAACATAGGTGTGTTCATATTTTGGGCACATATATGAAATGTTTTAGAAAATGTCACTGGTAAAGAAATAACAAAAATAAGTATAAGCATAAAATGAGTTAGGATCTTATTAAAGATGTTTTATCAATTATCACTGATGCTATAGTTATGGTGAGAAGACACTTGTATAATTCAGTAAAATATGAGGCCATAATGACTTGTCACCCCATCAACCCACAGTATCCATGTCTGTTGAATGGTAAAAAGTAGATAGGAATTCTGAGCTGCATACCAGAGAGTTGTAAGGTGCAAATTTACATTGTGATGGCTGATCATAGGCAGGCTTTATCAGGTACAACATGTTGATATAAAGTCACAGTGTTGCCCTCTACCGGCAACCGCTGAAAGCTGTTAAACATCTATTCATCAAGAACCATAAACAACACAATAAATTTGTGAAGAACAGTATTAATAAATTTCAGACCAGCTCTAAGCTATCCCTGTAAGCAAAAGTCTTCCTCTGTATGAAGAATGGGGGGTAGCACTTAGCTGTCAGCACTCATCTGCTTACAGACCTCTGCAGACTTTACCTTCAAAATACAAAAGCTTTAAAACATAAAAATGTCAGCTGGATTAATTAAATGTTTGAGCACCAGCAGCTCCTACAGAGTTCGAAGGCTCATGGCATAAATTAGGGACATCAGGGGTCATGAGAGATAGTGTCATGTTTCAAACAGATGTGAAACTTCTAATTCAGAACACACAGAAGCCTTGTTAAAAAATACTTTGCCAAGTCCATACATTTGTACTTTATAAGATGAGGCAGGGTGGAGGTAAGGGGAGTGTTTGCATTTCACAAGTAGTCCATTGCCTTATTTCTGTTGTTTTTTCATTTAGGTGGGATCTTTCCCCGCAGGCATTAAAGAACGGGCCAGCCTATTAAAGGCCAAGTTGTACAACCCTTACTTGAGAGTTGGCCTCACTCAAATGAATTGAGTCAATGGCTCCAAGAAGGCTATACATGCAGCAGTGAAACCCAGTGGGTCAGCTGTAATGTAACCAAAGTGTGTCACTTTAAAAAACTATTTCTCTAGACTGGCTCCAATGCACACTTTTGCAATTCCTCAACTTTTTGTTCATGCGGAACAAAACATCCAACATCTTTCTGTCAAGCACTCAAGGACGAGCATCTCAAACAGTGAAATGAAGACCTGAAAGGGAGCGGGGGAGGTCTGCCTTGCTGCAAGTCAGAATGAATGTCCCCATAGTCAGCTGTACCTTCCCTTCATGCGCTCTGTGGCCTTGGGCAAATCATTGCAACTTGTCCTGAGTTTTCCCATCTTTAAAATGGAGATAATCTTTCTTACTTACTTACCTTACAGGGTTGATGTGAAGGTCAGTTAATGTTTATATAGTGCTTGGAACCTGTCAAAGTTCTGCATGCATGCAAAGACTTTTTTTTATGAACAACTGAGTTTTCCTAGATTGTCTGAAAGGGGTTTGTTGTATCTGCACATAAAGGTGTGTTCTCCAGGCAGCAATGTGATTAGCTGGAACAGATTCCATTTAGTTGGAAAATTAGTTAGCGTAGATTAGCTTGTTGAAAAATATGTTTAGCGATGGAAGCAATCTGATTTTGTTGATAAGCCTTTTGTGTGCAATTAGCCTAGATGCTGGAGTCTTATTCCAGGATATTGCCTAAACTACTCAAAAAGAAAAATTTACGTAAGAAATTGTAAAATTTATCATTAGTTTTAAATTATGGAATAGCACAGAAAACCTCTACTGAGTGGATCTGAATGGCCCAGCCTCTGAGTTACATAGTATAAATTCAGAGTGACTTCAATGAAGTCAGCAGAAACTATCCTGATTTACATCAATTTCAGTGTCCAATCCCTGTGAAGTACAGCAGGCTTCTTGTGAGGTGCTGAGTGCTCTCTACTCCCACTGAGGTCATTGGGCACCTCACAGAAGCTGCTGTGCCTCCCGTAGGGCAGATCTTGCTGCCATTCTTTTTGTTAAATGCAACAAATGAACAGAAGTGGGTTTTGTAATTAAATTGGCTTGTGACACTCAAATGGCTCTAATGATGAGTAGATGTGAAGTGAGGGAAATGTACTGTACTTTGAGAACAGTTAATGACTAACCATGTACTAGCCGCAATAGAATTCATCCTAGCATAGTTGTCACCAGGACTGCAGCTTTTTTTTTTTAAAATCCCTCTCTGCATGTATTCATATTTCATGACAAAATCAAGCAGCTGAAAGTGATACTTTGATCCAGCCTTGCATGCTGTCCAAACAGATCTTTTGTTCTTTATATGTAGTTTCCCTAATGCTCAGATCTCTTTCTCTCTGTTTGAACTGAACATGAACACTAGAACAGAAAAATGTTTGACACAACCATGCTGTGCTGCCTTGATGTACTGAAGCAATGCTTTCTTTCCTCTGTCTGCATTTGTTGACTCTGATGCTTATCTTATTTTCAGGTGAGCGCCCTTACCAGTGTCCTTACTGTGACAAGGCTTTCAGCAAGAATGATGGACTAAAGATGCACATTCGCACCCATACAAGGGTAAGCGTGGCCCACTTGCTTTAATTGTTACTTAAGAACCATGATTGTCCATGGACAATGCAGGGAAATAAATTATTGCTGTTTGTATAAAGGGGGGATGTTTCAAAGATATTATTTGTGCTTCAAAACAGAGGAAAAGGGCATAAAAATTAATAATCTTAGAATTCTATTTCTGATTCCTACATTGATCTGCGTGTGACCTTGGACAAGTTGGTTTATTTTTTTGTGCCTCGTTTTTCCACATATAAAAAGGAGTAATTATTACTATCTTCCTCACAGAGTTGTCTTGGGACTTGTTCAGTCTTTAAAATCAATTAATAGGTTAGTGTCTCTATAAAAACATCATTATTATTAAGAGAGAGAGGTAAATGCCCAATCTTTTTGTATTTCTCTCACCTCCAAATCTAGTCTCTGGCAAACTCTGTCTGTCTTAATAACAATAATAGCATGTGCAGCGCTTTTACCCTATTAATTGATTATAAATATCAATTAAGTCTTAAAACAACCTTGTGAAGAAGGTAGAAATAATATCTGTAATGCAGGCTGGAGATGTCTCTGAAGATTATTCTCTGACCTTAGGATCACAGATATCCCCGGAGTCATCTGTTCTGGTTTAAAAGGCTTGTCATGTATATCTATTTACTGAAGACAACCCTTGCCCCCACTCTGTCCCCCTTGTGCGTGTCTAGCAAAAGGGATGGCTTTAAACAGGCAGCTGTGAATTCTGCTTGCATATGAGACTCCCAAGTGATGTAAAGTCACCATAACCAGCTTTATGCTATTTACTTCTGGTCTCCCCTACCTCCTCGTAGAAACCATGTTGGGGACAGATTCTAGGCTAGGTGTGCGCTTAACACCCTTTGTGGAATAGAAAAGTATTGTAAATTTCACTTTGTGTAGATAGATCTTGATCACCTGCATAATGCAGACAATGAAGTGCTCACAGATGCATATTATTTTTGCAGTCTGAGGAAATTAGTCATTTCAAAGAAGTAAGAAGCTTTTATTTGCCAGAACTGGAATACTTACAGAATTGTTCTTCTGAGAAGTGTAATTCGTTGGGATTTTCCTTCTGTTATTTATGCGTTTAGGTATCCATAATAACTCACCTCTGTAAGGAATTTTTATATATATACATATTGTCTTCTCAGTCTGGCAGCTTGCTAGAGCCTTTTACGTAATACGTTGCTTACATGTATTCCCATATGTCTTTCCACATTGCCACTGTTGTATGTAAGCAAAACACCTTTAAAATTTGCCAGCTGGCTTTAAAAGACATGTAAAATATGGGACTGAATGAAAGATGGACTAAGGACTTACGTGAATATGAGGTAGGAGGAAAAAGGAAATGATTCAAGCTCTGCTTCTGCATGACAGAACAGCTCAACCAGACACGCTAACTATTCAGTCTGCAGCAACAAGGAGACATTGGTAATTGGATTTTACTGAGTGGAAATTTGTTTTCTATAAACGTTGTGTATTGCTAAAGAACATGATAAAGTTCTTCTTCAAGTGATGGTCTCTACATGTATTCTGTTTGAGGTGTGCATAAGCCTGAGATCAGAAGATTTTTTGCTAGCATTAACTGGAATTTTTCAACATATGTGGTCCCTATCTATATTCCACTACCCACCCTCCTTCGTCTCTGCTGTGGAGTCTTATCCTGGGGCTATTCATGGTAGAAAGGTAAATGGAGAGGTAGTCAGTCCACATTGCCATTTATACCCTCTGGAGGAGGGGAAGGGCACAGGTGCAGACCAACAGACACCGCTAGCAAAAATCTTCTTGTCTCAGGCGCATGGTGTGCATGCTCACCTGGAGTGGAATACAAATAGAGACCCCACATCTCAAAGAACTCCATTTATTGAACAGGTAAGTAACCTTTCTATTTGATGTTAAAAATGGCTCAAATAGAATTTATTGTTGTAATAATACAATTATTTAATCAAAATAGCATCAGTTCAGAAACCAAGAAAACAGCATTTCCTCAGCTTACTCAACTCATGCCATATGTAGTATGATGATTTCAATACATCTGAGATGTCATGACTGCCCAATAGGAGGCTGGAATGTCCTATTTCTCCTCTTTTTTGACAAACAAATGACTGGAAATCCTTGCAGCCATGTTGTGGGCAGACACAGAATTCTCTTCGAATTCCTGGTTTTAGTGCTGTCAGGTTGTTTATATCCCACTTAACCCATAGTTCTGACGTTTAAAAGTCAAGTTTGTTTATATATGAGTGACATTTTATATAAGCTCACACCAGAGTAGGGATCTTTCATTTCAAAATAGTGGGGCTCAGTACTGGCATGTTTTGAGTAAACAAGCTTATCGCTATAATTAAGTTGCTTTCATGCTCCCCTCTCCTTCACACCCCAACTCCATATTTGCATCTGGATAGCAGAAAACTTAATTTCTATGAAGGTGTCATTGTTTGAAAGGTAACTAATAGTGTAAAATAAAATACTATCGATTTTAAGACCAGAGGAATCATTATAATCATCTAGTCTGACAGAAAACAAGTCATAGAATTTCAACCAGTAATTCCTGCATCGAGCCCATAACTTCTGGTTGAGCTAGCGCATATATTTTAGAAAGGCATTCAGTCTTCATTTAATGACTTCAAGACTTCATGTGATGGAGAATCCATCAGTGGTTGTTCCAATAGTTAATTATCTTTGCACATATTTAAATACGTAAGCAACTTAACCACTTAAATTAGCTTAATTCAGATAACACATTGGAAACTGTGATTTTTCTTAATGAAAGTACACCTCTACCCCGATATAATGCTGTCCTCGGGAGCCAAAAAATCTTACCGTGTTATAGGTGAAACCACGTTATATCGAACTTGCTTTGATCCGCCGGTGTGCGCAACCCTGCCCCCCCGGAGTGCTGCTTTACCGCGTTATATCCGAATTCGTGTTCTATCAGGTCGTGTTATATCGGGGTAGAGGTGTACCTTCCATCCTGAGTGCTTCTGACAATTCTAGAGAAATTTTGACCATTCAATATTCCCTCCGCCGTCAAACCACTTCTGCATCCCTGAGGTTACACACTGCAAACCCCAGTTTGATCAGTAAATAGCTAGTGGATTTGATCCAAAGCTCACTGAAGTCAAAACTTGATTAGATCCTATGTGTGCACAGATGCAGGTTGAGGGTTTGGGTTTCCTGAAAAACTGAGCAATCTTCAGCCTCACACGAAATAAAACCCCAAAAGTATTTGACATTTTGACTGGTTTCTGCTTAGCTATGATTATCTTTATCCTTTAATGATATCCTTTCAGACTTTAAGTAAAAGTACATTTAAGAGTTTAAATAAAAGTATAAGATACATTAATTTTCCTTTGTTTCTAAGAAACTGAAAAATAAAAAGACAAGATCGTGAACAATTACTCTTTCAAAGGCAATTTATAGCTCTTAAGGAAAAGCAGAAAAAATTTACATTCTCTTAATTTATATAAATGGGCCAAAAATCAAAATTTACATTTGCATTTCCAGTAATTCTTAAATATTTTAATAAAAATAGAATAAATAAACCAGTAAACATTCTTAAGTGGCAACATTTCTTGGAGTTACTTTTTGGGTTAGGTGGCTTAACAGTTCTAGGTTTAAATTAATCCACAAAATTCACTATAAAAGACTGAAGGGTCTAAATTCTGTTACCTCATCTCTAATATTCTAATTTAACTTTAGGCATATCACAAAAGATTAAAAATTTCAGTCTGTGATTTATGTGCCAGTCCTCCTTCACCTTTCACCCCATCTTCAAACAGATTTTATAGTATAGTTGATTCTCACACACATTGCCACACAATTATTTTCATGAACTCTAAGGATAGGGATAGCTAAAAGTCTAAAGAGTCTTCTGTCAAGTATTTTTGCATTAGCTAAGCGCAGAAGTGTGGAATTAAAAAAAAAAATCATTTAGCACTGTTATTCAGAAGCCTTATACATGGTTCTAATGAAAACAATGCCACAGTGTTTTGCCCAAACCTTTAAAATGGAAAACTGTAAAATCTACTAAATGCAATAACAAGTCATGCACTTCACCAGTGGGACTAGGTGGCAAATCATCCACAGAACAAGAAAGGCTGCAGGAAAAATCATTGCAGAGTTTGATTTAGACCTGGCAGCTGCTAAATAGTGCACAGGAAGGGAAAGACAGAAGAACAGTCAAAACTTCCTCCAACAATGAAAAGAGGAGAAAATACCGGCAAAC